CAGAGTCTCACTCTGTTGCCCAGACCGGTGTGCAGTGGTGCAATCATGGCTCACTGCAGTCTTGACTTCTGGGCCTCAAAGCAATCCTCCCACTTTAGCCTCCTGAGTAGTTTAGCAGATTTTTAATTTTAGATAACTTCTCTCTTAATTCACTTTGTGTATGACCATAATAATACACAGGTTATATACTGTTTTCTGGGTGGTAGTATTATGGCCAAGTGAGCTATTCTTACAGAACTGATTTAATTGTTACATAGCACTACATATTGATAAATGGATCTATCACATGGACAAAATATTTTTCACTTATACTTTTTAAATTTCCAAAAAGCATTTTTCTCTGAAGAAAGAAAGATTCTTCTTTCAGGCATATTGTTACATGACTACACAACACTTGCCTTAGAAATCCAGCTGAAATGAATTTGTTAACAACTTCTGTTGAAATGGTATTTAGCTTATAGTTCCATGATCCTTCAGGGACATAAAAAACATGAAGTTCCACCAACTGAATAAATTGAGAAGAACACCAGTTAAAATACTTTTAAAGTAAAAAAAAAAAAATCAACTGATGTTCTATAGAATTAAGTTTAATAAATACAACAGAAAAAAATGGAATACATACATCCCTCTGAACAAACAAAAAACAAAATGAACTAAAAATTTGTTCTTAAGTTGGCCACTTGGCATTTGGAGTACATTTTCCCTTGGCAACAATGTTATAGATGTGGCTATGAGATTATCTCAACATCTTTGGCATATGGTGTTTTTTCTGTGGTCTGCAGTAAGAATCCTAGGGCATCAAGACTAGTTTTCTTAACATCAACCTTTACCTCACCTCACTCCCCACCTACTCAGTTCCACTGGGGTGAACTTGTGGAATCTTTATCCTTTGTATATTTTCTCCCTATTACAGTTCTGATGATTGCTAGCCCTCAGCACCTGCAAAAGGTTTAATACTGTGGTTTGGGGAATGTACTTATTCCTCAGAATTCCAGGAAGAACCTATTCCTGACCAAGGAGAAAGGAATGATTGTTCTTACATCAGGCATGTCTGTGTGTCTGTGCTTCTATGTAACTATCCACTTTTCCACTGATGTTTTGTTATGCCCTTGATTAGAATCCTTCTATTTAGAAAAATATTTATATAACCAAAACAGAAACAGAGCGATTGCAAATATAGTCTTATCTCTTAATCAAATGAAGTTTGACACTCCCTGCATATTAAAAGTCAAAGCATTTAAATGAATATTCTTGAATGCAATATTAAATATCTGAGAAACCTTTAAAAGTTTGAATATGGCCTACTGTTAATATTAGTAATTTCATAGGAGATAAAAATGGTTCTTGAGCATAAGCTTTTCTTCAAGTTGTTTTTATAAATCAAGAAAATTACTTCTATGCTTTTGATGATGAAATATTAATTAAAAATTTAAAATGTTTGTATAGATCTGATAGTGAAGTTTTCTGTATGTTGCATTTTGAACACTAGAGCACTTAAAAGATTATTCCCTCGCTATACTATTGAATATTTGCAAAACCTTAAGAAATTTGAAGTAAATATGAACTTATCTTTATATAAACATATTAATATTTTACAGGGGGAAACTCTCTCTTGAACTAAATATTTATATACATGTTTCTTAAAAAATACATTTTAATGTTTTTTTCCAGAACAATAAAGTAGTTGAAAAAATATTAAAAAATTTTAAAGTACATATTAAATCTGACAATATTATTTTAAGGTTAAATATTCTATTTACACTGTCACCCTGATTTATTATAATCTTACTTTCCTGGCTTTAATGGAAGCTGCTCATCAATAATATTTTCATTAAAACCATTAGCTATTTTAAAAATACATTACAAGGTATATATATATATACACACATATATATATGGGGGCATATACTTTTTCTTTTGCCCCAGGTTTCAAAATGATTAGGGATGGCACTGTTGGATTCTGTCTCTTATTTAAAATATTGGTATCTTGTTCATCATGGATTTTTTTGCATTAATTTTACTAAAACAATTTTTTGGTAGCCCCTTAAATTTTTCATCTATGGCAAGTACCTCATTTGCCTCAGACTAGTCCTAGTTTTGTGAGAACTATAGCCAATAAACAATAAATACTGACTTCTAAGAAGTAAAATTTAAAAAAAATTTTTTTAATTAAAAAACAATAAACAAAACACTAATAGATAATATAGATATTATAAAGTGGTAGCTACTAGGGAAAAATAAGTAGGGCGGGGTAAAGAAGAATGGGAAGATATGGAATGGAGAAGTTTTCAGTTTTAAATATTCAGGGTAGGTCTCATGGAAGAGGTGAGATCGGAGTAAAGACCTAAGGGAAAAGAAGGAATTAGCCAAGTGAAGATCTAGAGGGAAAGAGTTTCAGAAAGAGATAAAATAAAGGTATTAAGGTGAGAGCATATCAGTATGATTGAAGCAGAGAAAGTAGGGGAGAGAGTAGTAGAAGATAAGTTCAGAAAAATAAGGAGGTAGAGGGGAAACATATAGCGCCTTCTGAGCCACTTTCACCTATAAAATGGGAAGCTAATGCATGGTTTTAAGAGAAACATTAAGATCTGACATATATGTTTATTTTATAGGAAAGATTTTAAACATACATATAAATAGAGTAATTCTCTCTCTCCGAATAAAATATTCAAAGTAAATCGGACATCGCGACACTATATCCCTAAATTATTTGGTATCCATATTCTAAAAATAAGGACCTCTGTAACATAATCACAGTTTCATTTTCACATCTAAAAAATTAAAATTCCTTAATGTCAATTAATATCCAGTCCATATTTAAATTTTCCCAATTGGCCTCGAAATATTTTCTTAACCTGGAATTCAAACAAGGATCACACAATGCATTTGGTTGTTACGTCTTTTAAAACTTTCATCTTGAAGAGCTCCCAAACCTATTTTTTGCTTTTTATTTTTAACATGGCATTGACTTTTTAAAAGATACTGAGCCAGTTGTCTTACAGAATGTTCTACATTCTGAATATACTTTATTATCTCTAAGGTGTCATTTAACTTGTTTCTCCAACCTCTCTTATCTCCTGTAAACAGTTAACTATCCAGCCTTCAAGTGACACAGGGGCAATAATATTTTATAAGTGGTGTCCTGTATTTTATATTGCATTATATCAGGATATACATAATGCTTTACTTAATTAGTTGAGTGATAGGGATCATAGCTAGAACAGACTATAAGAGGCAAGAAAAGGGAACTTTTTATGAAGCTACTGGAATAATTAGAGTGTGAGACAATGGTGACTCATGTGCTAGCAGTAAAGGTTATTAAAAAGCAGTCAGATTTTGTATGTATTTAAAAGTTAGAGTCAATCAATTGGAAGTGGAATTTAAGAGTCAAGTAGAAGAGTCAGAGTCAATCTACTGGAAGTGGAGTTTGAAAGAAGAGTCAAGTAGAAGACTCAAGTATGCAAGAAGAATCAAGTATGACTCCAAGGCATTTGGCCTCAGATACTGAAAGGATAGATTTGACCTTTCAGTATCTGAAATGGCAAAAGTCATGGGTAGTGCAAGTTTTAGGGAAGGGAAAAAAAATCCAGTTTCAGACATATTAAGATGAGATATCTATTGGCCATCCAAGTGGAGATGTCAGTTAGTCAGTTGAATATAGGCCTATGTGAATCTGGAATTTGGGAAAGAGGACTGAGATAAGGCTATAAATTTGGAAATCCTTGGCATAAAGTTGGTATTTAAATCTATTAGACTAGATGAGATCACCAAGGAATGAGTGTAGGCAGAGAAGAGAACAAAGAGGTGAACCCTGATGTATTCCAAAATTAAGAGGTCAGTAAGAAGACGAAGGCCCAGTAAAGATGACTGAGAATGAACAACCAGGGAGGTAAGAAGAAAACAAACATAAAAGAGCTGAACCCTGATGTATTCACAAATTAAGAGGTCAGGAAGAAGATGAAGATCCAGTAAAGATGACTGAGATTGAACAACCAGGGAGGTAAGAAGAAAACAATCATAATATGTATGCTAGAAGCCTAGTGAAGCCTATGTCAAGGAAGAGAAAGTGATTAATGGTGTCAGCTATTGTGCACATATAGATCAAGAATGTTTAGGATAAGAATTAACCAACAGATTTAGTAATGAAAGGGTGAATTTAATGAGGACAGTTTTGGTGGAATAATTGAGATGAAATCTTGATTGCACTTGGTTTAAGAGAAAATAGAAGGTATTGGGGGTCTGAGATGGTATGACATACTTGTTCAGAAGAGTGAAAGAGTGAATTAATGAGTTGCAGACAGCAAGACTGCCCACCAGAAAAGATTCCATTTGAAATTCATGGTCATGAATTTAAAGTGAGAATGGTACTTATGATGGTATACATTTTTTTTGTCTAGCCATGTTCAGCTGCTCAGGTGTAGGTACAGAACAGGTGGAGAAATGCATTAACCATGTTTGTTGTTTTGCCAAGCAGCACAATGAAGTGACAGAGGGGCAAGGAGTCAAAAGTATGTGCAAAGGAGTGATCATGACTGCTCTATGGAACTTAAGCTAGATATGGAGGGTACCACCTTCAATCATACAATTGAGAAATAGTAAAAAAGGTGATAGAATCAATGCATTGGGGATCCCAATATGGTTGGGGTAGAGGAAGTGAGCTAGCGACACGAGAAGTGTAACCAGGCAATGGGATATATGAAGTTGGCATCATGGTGGAGTCAATATCTAATACTTTATATAATTTATGTTTTTGCTTTTATAAAACTTTTCAAAAACAATGATAAGCAGGTCTTTCTTATATTTTAGTATAAAAAGATTTTCTTACCTCTGATGAGGAAGGTCGACTTGGATTGAGCGACATATTTACTAACGTCTGAATGGGATAATTATCAATTTGAATTTTGTTTCTTTTTTTTATCTTTCTTCATTTAAGTAGTATTAAATAAAAATTGTAATAGTTTTTTGGCTTAAGATAGCATTCCACTCATTTCTGGTCTCTGATTTGTTCAAGAAATAAAAAGGAAAACACAAAAGCATTAAATAAACTAAAAATGAAAACTTAGAAATATATATAATCTTTATTATTCTAACTCAAAAGGACATATTAATAGTAAATAGGACTGTGCAATGAAATGAGTATAAATCTATACAACTAAGTAACGTGACTAATTACACTATAATGGACTTGTGACCAGGACATACTTTACTATTCTAAATAATTCATCTTTTCTTGGTCAAAAATTAAGGTTAAATACATAGCATTTTACATGAAGTAGAAATACACATTTGGAAGTAGAAAGACAGAATTTATGATACTTGGTTAGGATCAATGACAAATTCTAAGCATGCCTAAAGTTTTAATTAGCCTCTGGGCTAGTTAAAATGGCTATAGAATGATGAAAACTGTTTTACTATATACATTTCTTCTTGGGTTTTGATGCCTCAATAATAAAAAACATGAACAATCATTCCAGGTGAAAATGCCAGTCTTTAAATATATCAGGCTTCATTTGTGTATTATTCCCTGTGTTTTTCCTCAGGATTTATGGCAGTTTACAAGAATATGATACAATTAAAAATATATAATGTATATAAGAAAAAATAAAAAATAAGGTAGCTGAATTATTACTCTAAAAGGAATTTTCAAAGCAGGATAATCCTTAAGGATACACTAATCATATCAACACAAGAGCTGAAGCTTTTCTAGATTTCAAAGCATTGCTCTTCCTCGATTTATGTTAAAATAAGGATTTATCTCCAACAAAACTTAAAATTCCTCTGATCTGGTACTGATCGTAGCGCTATAAAACCCTAACAAGTCCCACTAATTGTTTTAATGGTATCAAAATTAAAAGATTATCTCCTGAAATATAGCATCTCCTTAAATTAGTTTTACATATTACTTTCCATATTTCTTAAAATAATTAAAACTTAGAATGTGATTTATCATTTTGACCATGTCAAACGCTATTTTAAGTACACATTAGTACTTTAAGAAAGTATTTATATATCTGTACAAAAACTCTGTATGCCACTGTATTAATATTAGCCTCTATTATGAACCTAAGTGAAAGATGACTCAGATACATATATGGTCACTTCATTATTAGATAATAATTAGTTAATAATCTATAATAATTATAGCATAAGGACATTCATTGATTCATTGGTATGCAAGTTAGTAGGCTAAAAGTTTTAATTTGTTACATATTAAAATTTGATATTTTAATTCAGAACAATTTTTTTTTTCTTTTTTTTTGAGACAGAGTCTCCCTGTGTCACCCAGGCTGGAGTGCAGTGGCGCACTTTTGGCTCACTGCAGCCTCTGCCTCCCAGGTTCAAGTGATTCTCCTGCCTTAGCCTCCCAAGTAGCTGAGATGACAGTCGTGTGCCACCACACCCAGCTAATTTTTGTATTTTTAATAGAGACAGGTTTTCACCATGTTGGCCAGGCAGGTCTCGAACTCCTGACCTCAAGTGATCTGCCCGTCTCGGCCTCCGGAAGTGCTGGGATTATGGGCATGAGCCACCAATGTGCCCATCCCAGAACAAATTTTTAATTAAACAAACTCAAGATAGATCAGTCAAGACCTGCTTTATTGTTGTCCTGAGGTAAACCTATACAGGACCCCACTATACAGGTTGAGTATCTGTAATTTTAAAATCTGAAATCTGGAATGCTCAAAAATCTGAAACTTTTTGAATGCTGACATGATGCTCCAAAGAAATGCTCATTGGAGCATTTTGGATTTTGGATTAGGATTGTTTAACCGATATAATGCAAATACCCCAAAATTTGAAAAAATCTGAAATCTGAAACATTTCTGACACCAAACGTTTTGGATAAGGGATACTCAACCTATAGTATCCCTTCTAAAGTAATGGCAAAGAAGCCATGTTTGGGATTTTAAGAACTCCCTTTATCATTTCTGATGCGACCAATGCTGGAGACCAAATCCTGGGCTGACCAGAAACAAACAAAATGTTCTGATGTAAAAAGATGAGCCCTTGGGAATTAGACATGGGAAAAGAGCTCAAGATTCAAGCATTAGTAGACATTACTAACAAGAATATAGAAAAGAGAGCCCGGTGCCATGGCTCATGCCTATAATCCCAGCACTTTGGGAGGCCGAGAGGGGCGGATTGCCTGAGGTCAGGAGTTTGAGACCAGTCTGGCCAACATGGTGAAACCCTGTCTCTACTAAAAATACAAAAAAAAAAAAAAAAATTAGCTGGGTGTGGTGGCATGCGCCTGTAATCCCACCTACTCCAGAGGCTGAGGCAGGGGAATTGCTTGAACCAGGGGAGGTTGCAGTGAGCCAAGATCGTGCTATTGCACTCTAACCTGGGGGACAGAGTGACTCCATCTCAAAAAAAAAAAAAGAATACAGAAAAGTCATGAGGCAGTATCATAGCATCATAGCCATGAGGCAAGCCTATGTTATGGGAAAGCTATACTTATCTATAAAGAGATAAAAAAAGATAAAGCATAGAAAAAATGACTAAGTTAACTGGTAGTGAGAAGCAAACTGAGGAAGTAACATAGCTGATTCATGTTTATAACTAAGCACTAGAGAGGAATCAAGAAGTCTTGGGGCTGAAGTATCTAGCCTTGGATCTACTTCCAGTTTGGCTTATTAGCGTGACAGTTTCTGTTTTGGGATTTACAAGGGATATGTGCCTCCACTGCTGCTCTACATTGATCTTTACCATAATCTCCTCATTGCTTGTGCTAACTTGAGTAAGCCTTTGCTATTGAAACTACGAGAGGCTAATTAAAACTTTAGGCATGCTTGACTGGCGTGGTGGCTCACGCCTGTAATCCCAGTGCTTTGGGAGGCCGAGGCAGGCAGATCACCTGTGGTCGGGAGTTCGAGACCAGCCTGACCAACATGGAGAAACCCCATCTCTACTAAAAATACAAAATTAGCTGAGCATGGTGGCGCATGTCTGTAATCTCAGCTACTCCAGAGACTGAGGCAGGAGAATCGCTTGAACCCGGGAGACAGAGGTTGCGTGAGCTGAGATTGCACCATTGCACTCTAGCCTGGGCAACAAGAGCGAAACTCTGTAACAAAAAAACAAAACAAAAAAAACTTTAGGCATGCTTAGAATTTGTAGTTGATCCTAACCAAATCATATACTAAATCCTAACATATAATATGTGGGATTTTCAGATTTTTTACCTGTTACTAATTAGCTAATGAACAAAACGATGCCAACAATTCAAATGAAAGGAGACTGATATCTCAATAACCAAAAATAAAGTGACTGTCTAATCTTTCATTTACTGCATAATTTTGCTTTACAACTCTACTGCCAGGAATGGAAAATCAATTTTATCTTGCACGCTAATTCCCATCAACTGGTACTGACTATCTAGAAGTGAATTACTAAGTAGGATCCCAAGGCTACATCTCAGTAGGAAATAGTACAGAATCGAATTACCACAGTCAACTATGGGTTTGAGAAGGAGTAACTCTTGGTGGATGTATAACCTATCTGCCATCTCTGATCTAGTCCCTCCTTTCAAAATATCTACCCATCATGTTTTCTCTGCACTTTTCCAAAATGATTTTCAGTGTCAGTAGCAGAGCTGAATATCAAGCTTAAGAACCTCTGATACTTATTCAGTTTCTGGAAATAAGGATTCTAGTAATTTTTATTTCCTGTTTGATTTGATAATACAGCATACAAAGATTGCTCGATGTACTTTAGAAAATCCTAAATGCTGACATGGGATATGTTTAAATATATCAATAAAGTAGAATCTCACACAAGGTAATCAGATTGACTGGGAGCCAGAAAAGCAGATTTCTGGTCCCTTATAACCTATAAAACCATTCACTGGTCCAAGTGTCAGTTGCTTAGTGGTAAGTGACTTGAACTCTTCAAAATCCTTTGCAGCTCTAAAATGTTTTGATTACTTGATTGCTCAGGGAATGCAACAAGTGAAAGGGAAACTTACATTCTGGAATAAAAAAATCAGAATACAGTTAACTTTATGACAGATGATGGGAGTATTTTTTCACATAATTCCTGATTCTTAAATCACCAAGGCATGAAGTCTATCTGATCAGGATAGATTCAGGTTATGTGTATGTCCTGGGAGTTCTGCTTTATTTGGTTCCTGGTTAAGCTGTAAATAAAATTCTAATCAATTTAAAGGGTAACCTGTCTTAGGTAAATAGATTAAAATGCCTGAAATGAGGCCAGGTGCAGTCGCTCACGCCTATAATCCCAGCACTTTGGGAGGCTGACGCGGGTGGATCGCCTGAGGTCAGGAGTTTGAGACCAGCCTGACCCACATGGTGAACTCCGTCTCTGGTAAAAACACAAAATTAGTCGGGCATAGTGGCGCATGCCTGTAATCCCAGCTACTGGGGAGGCTGAGGCAGGAAAATTGCTTGAACCCAGGAGGCAGAGGTTGCGGTGAGCTGAGATCACGCCATTGCACTCTAGCCTGGGTAACAACAGCAAAACTCCATCTCAAAAAAAAGAAAAAAAGAAAAAAAGCCTGAAATGCCTGAGGGCACTCCAGAATCCACAAGCATTTATAGTAGTTAGACTTGTGGAACCAATTGAGGAATGAGGTTTGTTTTCTAGACAGGTCCTAATGTAGACAAAATGGCATACTTGTCTTGATTTGAAACCTTCTCAGGATATATAAGGACATTTTAGAGTGGGGGAGGGTCTCCCAGAGAGTAACAGAATGATATAGGGTTAGAATCTATGTTGGAAAAGGAATTATAGAGTTAGGTTTCTTTTACTTTGTAATTTTTGTGGGCATGTAGGTGTATATATTTATGGATACATGAAATATTTTGATACAGGCATACAATGTGTGAAAATCACATCAGGGTAAATAGGGTATCCATGATTTCAAGCATTTATCCTTTCTTTGTGTTACAAAAAATCAAATTATACTCTTATTTTAAAATGTTTAATTATTGTTGACTATAATCACCCTTTTGTGCTATCAAATACTAGATTTTATTCACTTTATCTAACTTAATATTTCTGTCCCCATTAATCATCACCAGTTCCCACCCTACTACTCTTCCCAGCCTCTGGTAACCATCATTCTACTACCTCCATGAGTTCAATTGTTTTATTTTTAACTGCCAAATAAGTGAGAACATGTGAAGTTTGTGTTTCTGCACCTGGTTTTTTCACTTAACATAATGACCTCCAGTTCTATCCATGTGGTTGCAAATGAGATAATCTCATTCTTTTTTATGGCAGAATGGTACTCCATTGTTTATTTGTACCACATTTTGTTTACTCATTCATCTGCTGATAGACACTTAGGCTGCTTTTAAATCTTGGCTATTGTGAATAGTGCTGCAGTAAACAAGGGAGTGCAGATACTTCGATACACTGGTTTCTTTTCTTTTGGGTCTATAGCTAGCGGTGGGATTCCTGGGACATACTGAAGCTCTATTTTTAGTTTTTTTGAGAAACCTCCAAGTTGGTCTCCATAGTGGTGGTACTAATTTACATTCTCACCAACAGTGTACAAGGGTTCCCTTTTCTCCACATCCTCACCAGCATTTGTTATTGTCTATCTTTTGCTTAAAAGCCACTTTGAGGAGAGATGATATCTCATCGTAGTTTTGATTTGCATTTCTCCTGATGATCAGTGATGTTGGAACACCTTTTCATATACCTGTTTGCCATTTTTAAGTCTTCTTTTGAAAAGTGTTTATTCAGCATTTTTGCCCATTTTTAAAGCGGATTATTAGATTTTTTTTCCTATATAGTTGAGCTCCTTATATATTCTGGTTATAAATCCTTTATCAGATGAATAGTTTGCAAATATTTCTTCCCATTCTGTGACTTATCTCTTCACTTTGCTGATTGTTTCCTTTGTAGTGCAGAAGGTTTTCATTTTTATTTTTTAGAGACAGGGCTTCTCTGTTGCCCATGCTGGAATGCAGCGGCATGATCACAGCTCACTGCAGCCTTGACCTCTGTGGGTCACCAAGTAGCTGGGATCACAGGTACATGCCACCATGCCCAGCTACTTTTTGTATTTTTGTAAAGATGGGGTTTTGGCTTTGACATGTTGCCCAGGCTGTTATCAAACTCCTGGGTTCAAGCAATCCACCTGTTTCAGCCTCTCAAAGTGCTGGGATTACAAGCGTAAGCCACCATGCCTGGTCCTGTGCAGGTTTTTAACTTGATGTAATCCCATTTGTTCATTTTTGCTTTGGTTGCCTGTGCTTGTAGGGCATTATTCAAAAAATCTTTACCCAATCCAATGTACTGGAAAGTTTCTCCAATGTTTTCTTTTCCCTTTTTGAGAGCTGGAGTTTCACTCTGTCACCCAGGCTGGAGTGCAATGGCATGATCTCAGTTTACTGCAATCTCTGCCTACCGGATTCAAGTGATTCTCTTGCCTCAGCTTCCCAAGTAGATGCGACTACAGGTGTGCACCACTATGCCCAGCTAATTTTTGTATTCTTAGTAGAGACAAGGTTTCACTACATGTTGGTCAGGCTGGCCTGAAACTCCTGACCTCAGGTGATCCACCCGCCTCGGCACTTTGTAATCCCAAAGTGCTGGGATTACAGGTGTGAGCCACCATGCCCCACTCCCAGTGTTTTCTTATAGTAGTTTCATAGTTTGAGGTCTTAGATTTAAGTCTTTAACCCATTTTGATTTGATTTTGGTATATGAGGAGAGAGATCCAGTTTCATTCTTCTAATATGGATATTCAGTTTTCCCAGCACCATTTATTGAAGGGACTGTCCTTTCTCCAATGTATGTTCTTGGCACCTTTGTAAAAAACGAGTTCACTGCAGGTGAATGAATTTGTTTCTGGGTTCTCTAGTCTGTTCTACTGGTCTGTGTGTCTGTTTTTATGCCAGTTACCATGCTGTTTTGGTTACTATAGCTCTGTTGCATAATTTGAGGTCAGGTAACATGATTCCTCCATTTTTATTTTTTGCTCAGGGTAACTTTGGTGACTCTGGGTCTTTTATGGTTCTGTGTAAGTTTTAGGATTTTTAAAAATACTTCTGCGAAGAATGTCATGGGTATTTTGATAGAGATTGCATTGAATCTGCAGATTGCTTTGGGTATTAGAGACATTTTAACTATACTGAATCTTCGAATACATGAACATGGAGTATTTATGGTTTTCATTGTAGAGATCTTTAACTTCCTTGGTTAATTCCTAAGTATTTTATTTGCAGCTACTGTATATATTTTCTTCTCCAAACTTCAATTTCCTTAGCCATTATAAAAACAGCCATTCTTTGAGAAAGAAGTCAGAATTGTGAAATCCCCCTTTGAAGAGATTCAGTTTTTAGTTAAACTACAAAGTAAGGCATGTGAATCTTATTTATTCAAATTCTGAATTTAGACCTAGTGAACTAAAGAACTTAGGGTATTAATTGAATAAGGTGAAGATCTCAGATAAATTTAAATTGACAGTGCTCTGCTGACAAAACATAAAGTGACAGATTACTTGGTTGTCTTTTCTTGCCATTTATTGCTACAAGAATCCTCTTGGTGACAAATTGTTTTTACAACAGGCCAGTCTTCAACCAACTGAAGGGTGAGCATCTATGTCTGTACAGTTGGAAACATGTTTGAAATGTTTTAGATCATTGTGGAAGGTCAAAGGACATTTCCTAAACAAAAATTTAAGAGATACAGATAGTTCATAAACTATATTTACTGGTAATCACTTCAGATGCAACGGAACTTAAAGTTATCTCAATGGTTTCTTTTTTTCTTTTCTTTTTTTTTGAGATGGAGTCTTACCCTGTCCCCAGGCTGGAGTGCAGTGGTGCCATCTCGGCTCACTGCAACCTCTGCCTCCCAGGTTCAAGTGATTCTCCTGCATCAAGCCTCCTGGGTAGCTGGGACTACAGGTGTGTGTCACCACGCCCGGCTAATTTTAGTATTTTTTAGTAGAGAAGAAGTTTCACCACGTTGGCCAGGATGGTCTCAATCTCCACCTCGTGATCCGCCTGCCTGGGCCTGCTAAAGTGCTGGGATTACAGGCGTGAGCCACCGCACCCGGCCTCAATGGTTTTTTTTTTTCTTTTGTATCCTAAATAGAATCTTTAAACACACGCTACAAACAATAATATCTAGTGTTTGAGACAGCAGTCCAGTCTGCAGTTTCCCAATGCAGCAGTTAATAAAAAAGCAATAATTTTTTTTTTTTTCTGAAACTGTTTCGGCCTAAAACACTGTTTATTCCTCAACAGTCTCCCTCACAGAAGTAATTATTGGACCATATATTCCCTAAAATCTCTTCCAGCATTAACATTCCGCGGTTCTAAGAGTTCAGTGATATATTTTACAACTACTGTAAAACAGATCATTCTTTAATAAAGATACTTGTGTTTAATCTTACAAACCTGTAAAGTGTGAATGACGTTTTAGCATTACACAGTCAACAAAGCACCAAAGGTAAAATAATTATAATCCCTTTTGGGAAAAGACAATATTTATTGAGATAGCTTTCATATTCTTTTTATATATAATGTCATTTCATTCTGAAAAACAACTCTACGAAGCTTTATAATTTATTTTGAAATAAGGAAATAAAGCCTCAGTAATTTAAGTAGCTTGCCCAAGAATACCATAAGTAGCACAGCCAGAATTCAAACCCTGGTTTTAACCCCAATCATTAATTACATCCGTACGAATTAAGAAAGATGCTAAACTTACGATGTACATTTTTGCGAACTGATATAAACTGTTGAGCAAGTAATTTAGATTTTGTTGACCAGAGCAATTACACATGCTTCTCTAATAAAAAATTTGAAATCCATTAATGATGAAATTATTCACATTAATGGAAAACATCAGCGCATTCGGAGACTGACTACCCCAAAAGAAATAGGAAACATCTGCCCTTAGTGCTGTGACATCACACACACATTTCCATGGATGAAAGAAAGACGTACTGACTGGCTGGCTGAGCCTATTTTGTTTGGTTAGATTCTACCCTCTCTCCTAAAAACTCCTTTGGGACTCAATTTCAAGCAAGAGGTAATAAATTACAACGGAAATACTAAAAAACAAACTTTCCGGAAACAACAAAACAAGTTTTATTTTAAAAAGTACAGTAAGTGTTAATTCTCCAGAGTAAATGGGTAACAGAGTAGAGAGGTGTAATCTTCAGCCAGCACCTTGGCTTCTTCACAATCTCCTTCAGAAAAACCGATTCAAGAGCTAAGAAGCCAGTCAAGTCAAACCTCGAGAAGGTCCTTTCTCCAGCGAATCAGCGCCCCTGTTCCCCGCCCGCCCGGCTCCGCTGGGTAGGCGACAGCGACCTCCGCGCCTTCCCTCCGCCTCGTGTCAGCCGGACTGGGGGTTGGGGGTGGAACTGAGAATGCCTGTTGGCCAAACTAGGATCACAGAGAGACACGCCTGTACGGGGCGGGGGTGTGCGGGTGACTCACGCCGGGTGCACAGTAGCTCCTACGCTTCGGCGGGCATCTCCCCTCACTTCCCTCAACCCCTCCCACAAACTCTGGGAGGAAAACTGAGACCTCCTGGTCACCCGCCGCCGGACCTTTTAGAAACTCCCACAGCTCTGACTTCCCTCACTGGCCCTCTTCAGACCCCCTCTTAGGTCTTAGCGGCTAACGATGAGCTGTCTCCTTACCTCTCCCTAATCGGTCCCTCTGCAGAGGAAAGGGGAACTTAAGAGTCCAGTCGCGCTCCCCTCCCCAGCAGACGCGCCCACCGACTGCTCCGCCCCTTCTCCTCCCCCTCCTCCAGGCTCGCGCTCCTGGCCTGGTGAGGAGCCGGAACAGAGGGTGGGAAAGGCGCGCATGCGCATCGAGGGTGGAGCCGCTGAGCACAAAACCGGAAACTTAGAGACAAAGTTCGGAGCCCCGCCCCCGCCGCGCGCTGCTTGGTTGTCTGGCCCCTCCGACCCACGGCCTACGACCCACGGCCTACGACCCACCGACCCACGAATCGGCCCGGCCGTCGTGTGCACCATGTCTGGCTCCTCCAGCGTTGCCGCTATGAAGAAAGTGGTTCAACAGCTCCGGCTGGAGGCTGGGCTCAACCGCGTCAAAGTGAGCGAGGGCGGGCGGCCGAGGCGGGAGGAAGGCGGCGGCGGCGGCGGCGGCGGCAGCAGTAGCAGTGGGGGGTGGGATCCGGCAGCCCAGCTGGCGGGGGCGGGCGGGACACGCGCCGGCCCTCGCTTCCCCTGGGGAAGACGCGCGCTCGGCAGCGGCGATCGGGGAGCGGCCAGCTTTAGAGAAGGCGCCGCGTGGGTCTAGGCTGTGTTTTGGGGGGACGATTAGTTCGCCCTTCCGCCCCAGGACTTTCCGAGGAGGGCTTGCCCCTGGGCTGAACCGTGGCCCACATTCCGGTCCTCCTCCCTCTCTACCTCCCTTGGCCGCCTTCTCGGCTGGTCTCGCCAACAGCTGCGCCTCCGCGCGCCGTCCGCACCCTTCCTTTCCCACTTCGCCAGCCTCCTGTTTCTCATCGGACAGGGTATTTTCCGACTTTTGATTCAGAGCAGACTTTTCTCCCCCCATTTTATCTTTCCCAAACCTACTTCCTTTAGTATTAAATTCTTACCTTCAACTTCTCTTGTCCATTGAACGCATACTTTTAAGCGAATTATTGCATAACTTAAACTATGGATTAAAGAAGCATTTTTCGACACGATCCTGGAGTGTGAAGTTCCGGTTAGTGCCCCGTACAACCTCGAACAAAGCGTGCATTTCATACCTATGGCACAGTTTGCTCGTATTTGACCTTGGGGGTATCGACTGGTCCGCATGCCCGAGAAAATGATTATTATGGGTAATTATTGGTCTTATTTTGGAATCTGGTTAGTATTGGCCTTGTCTTGGGGTACTTTGGGAGAAAAAGCGTTTTGTCTGTGTTGATAGAACAACTTGACATTCAAGTGCTATTCTAAGTATTTCCTGATTTTTACAGTCCTGAATGGATTGGCTTCTTTCTGGTACAATAGGTCAGGCTACATGTGAAACACTTCTGCAGTTAAAAAAAGAAACAAGAATGTAAATCATGTGCCCTGTTAAAAGCAGCCAGTTCCTAAGATGATTTGATTTTATACTCACCAGGCTAGTCTTTATTACTTCCTGAAATGTTTTGTGGAGTGAGAGAGGTAGGGTCTCTAAGCTTTCTTAACTGAAAATGTCAGAGACCTAGGTTACTCAGTCGTGGTCACCTCAAAAGGGAAGGGAAATTCTCATTCGTCTTGTTGTAGGATTCCCCTGAGAGAGGGTCTCCCATTTAGCTTTGTTAACTAGAAATGTGAGGGACCTAGCTTACTCAGTTGTGGTCAACTCAGAAGGGAAGAGAAATTCTCATTTGTCTTGGTGTGGGATCCCCCTCACTTAGAGTCCTTGAAGTGCTGTAGACCTCACTGAAGTTTGGAATCTATTTCTCTACTCTCCCAATTCTTACCTCATCACAGTGGTTTCTAGTGAGTCTTGGCTGGATTTGGCTCTGAAATTCGAAATCATTTATTAACCATTATATATCATTCAGGTATGCCTTTATCACAGATAGGATGGACCAAGAAAGAAAAAATGGGGCGGGATAGTGAAAGCAATAAATTGTACATACTTAGTCTCCAAAGAAAATGACATGAGGTCTTCAGACTAAAATACTCCAAGAACTTTACTTTGGAAACCCTAGCTGCTGCTCCCCTAATCCCCCAAAACCGATCCTACCTAAATCTTCAGTAGCCTTCTGGTTCTGGTCGGGATCATTAAAGGCACCAGAAATGATTTGGTTTTGGAGTTACTGCCTGATGTTAAGGCTGTAGCAAGAAGGGGAGCATCCCCTTTGGGACTTTTTAATGAGCTTTTCTTTAGACATGTTGCTAAATGTGGTTTAACATTGTGTATCTGTTTTATCAATGACTGGGCTACGTGATTTTTTGTGAGATTTTTAAACTAGTACAATCTTTTAACCTTTATGTTTGAGTACAGTTGATAGAACTTATAAATGCTTGACAAACTGTCATAGGTAGGTCAGGACATTTTTGAGAGTGAAAAGGGGCACTAATAATTAGGCCAGGATTACAGGGTTTCAACCTCCTGGATGGTGATTGTTACAGTGCCTTGGGGGCTAGCAGCTTGTTCCAGTTTTAGAGTCTTTGTCTCAGCTTTCCTCACTGTTTGGAATGCTGTTTCTCACTGATGGTTATTTGGTTGGATCTCTTGTCATTGAGATCTCAGCTTCAATATCACCTCAGACACCTTCCCTTAGGTGGGCACCCAGTCACCATCTAACCGATTACTCATTTTACTACAGAGCACCTTGTCTGTCATTTTCTCTTAACTGTCAGCTCCTTGACAACAGGGCTCTCTCTGGCTGTTATGTATTCTCAGTGCCTGTAAGTATATGCAGCACATAGTGGTGCTTGGAACTTGTAAAAGGGAGTTACATTGGACCCCACCTACACTTTAAATAGAAAATTAACAGGTACTCTTTATGCTTCCTGCTGGTTAATAGGAATGAAAACACTAAACATTGTTACAATGTTTGGTGAAAAAGGACACCACTGTTCCCCTACTTTAGCTACACTTCTTTTGGAAGGGAGGGGATGAGGGGGTTTAGTCATTTGTAAAAATACTTCTTTTACATAGGAGCTATTAAACCTATGGAACTCATTACCCTGGACTGTTGTATAAGCCAGACACACAAATAGATTCGATAAGCGTTTAGATTCATCTTAGGATGATGAATTATTTTATCAGGTTGGAGGTACAACTGTAATCTGCAGGGGTTCTTGGTATAGAGAGCATTTGTGATGCTATTAATTCCCTAAGGTCACATATCCAGCTGGATAGACTAGACACCTGCTCCCAGCCTCCTTGCGGTAAAGACTGAGAATAAAATAAATGAGTATTTCTCCCACTTCTTAAATCTCAGTTCAAGACTTCAGATATTAGATGCATTTTGGGCATGTTTTATTCATGTTCCACGTATGAACGGTTCAGTTCATTGTTTTGGTATTTGTGTACCATCAACTATTTTAATGTTATTAAACTAGACAGTGACAGATTTCTGCCCAGTGTCATGTGACTGAAAGGCTGATAGCAAACATCAATTTAACAGTTTTTCTGAGCAGCCTCCCTTTAAGAAACTATTGACTTAAATATGATTTAAGTGTTAATATACATATACAGAGCCACCCAAACAGGACTTAAGGAACTTCTATGGCTTTATGGTTATTTTGTTTATATCCTACATCACCTTAGCAGAATATATAGAAATAGTAGATGTCTAAGTGAAAGAATGCATGCCTCTTTTAATTTGTTTTAGTTTAAATGCAACAGTATAAGGGTCTGATAAATTTGAGGATCAGTATACTGAATGCATTCTTATAGTGCTTGCGTTTCTAAATTATGTGCTATCCCACATTATGTTCATTCACAGTAGCATTTTTCCAGTAATACTGCTTTCAAGACAAAATAATAGTTTGCTAGAATGTTATTGCTTTTTGTTTAACCTTTAATTTTTTTTTAAGAAACAAGATGTTAAGTTCCCTCAGGTTTGCACTTGAACAGCCTATTATTAATAAGATGTGCTGTGCTTTGCAAAAATAAACATAATTCTACTGTTTGTACTCAGTCATCTGATGCTTCTAGTAACCAAACAAAAGAAAACATACAAGCATTGGTTTTAAGTATTAAGAGCTCACTAGGCTGGGTGCGGTGGCTCACGCCTGTAATCTCGCACTTTGGGAGGCCAATGTGGGCAGATCACAAGGTCAAGAGATCGAGACCATCCTGGCCAACATGGTGAAACCCCATCTCTACTACAAATACAAAAATTAGCTGGATGTGGTGGCAGGTGCCTGTAGTCCCAGCTACTCAGGAGGCTGAGGCAGGAGAATCGCTTGAATCCAGGAGGGGGAGGTTGCAGTGAGCCAAGATCGCACCACTGCACTCCAGCCTGGCCACAGAGTGAGACTCCGTCTCAAAAAAAAAAAAAAAAGAGCTCACTATATGACTTAAGTCTTCAATTATTATATAGTATCTTCTATTGAAGCAAGAGAAGTACTGTTTTATTGGAAGTACAGTATTTCCAAAGATTGAGAAAACCGTCATTAAAATGTTCTCACCATCTGGCGCTTCCCTCCCCTCTTTGTTATGTATAGGTTTCCCAGGCAGCTGCAGACTTGAAACAATTCTGTCTGCAGAATGCTCAACATGACCCTCTGCTGACTGGAGTATCTTCAAGTACAAATCCCTTCAGGCCCCAGAAAGTCTGTTCCTTTTTGTAGTAAAATGAATCTTTCAAAGGTAAGTTTCCTTAAATGAAAACCAAAAACCCACATTGTAGGAATCACTAGTCTTCTCTTTCTTTGCAGCACTTAAAAGATATCCCATGCCCTTTCCTTTGGCCCTCCATTTCCAGTATTTTTCTGTTTTGCAAGGAAAGTAAGGATTCATGAAACTTGCTGACTTAGTAGTCATGAAGGCTAATCGTTTCTATTTTACTATAAGAAGGTTAAATAGAGGATTTAATAACCATAAAGAGGGTATAGGAGAGTTACTACAAAATCCCACTGCTGTAACAAGCCATCTGTCACTTTTTAGAGCATTGGCCTAATGGCATATGCATCTTGGGAGTCCCCAAGTACTAGTTTTCTTTTTGTGTACCTAGCAAATATTTATAGACAGTTTTTAAAAAAACTGCATTGTTTATGGGGATAACATGTAAAGTACTACCAACTGATTTGGATTAACTCTGATGTTATTGCTCTAACTAAACCCAGCTGTAGAGCAGTATAGCAAAGATTGGGAATTGGAAATGCAAGAGAAAATCAGATGTAATTGAGTAAGCCAGTGTGGTAAAGGCGTTTGGACTGAGGTAGAACAGGCTTTATGTTTTGTTCTCATTTGTTGGATTAAAGATGAAACATGAAGGAAATGCAGTATATGAGTTCTTGGTGACAGACAGACAGTGGACTGAATTTCAGAGAATTAAAAACTAAAGACCCTGCTGGCTTTATTAAAGCATGCTTCAGTACATTAATTTGTGCCTTCCAGATCAAATGCCATGTGTACAAATGTATGTTAGTCTAAGAGATGTGACAAAAAAGGTTTTGGATCATTTAAAATGTAACTGAAGGGTGCTGCATTTTATAAATTCTTAGTACTTTAGTTAGGGAATGTACTCAATATTGACCTATGAGAGGCAAACTAATAGTACTTTGTAAAAAAAGGTTTTGTATATTGCACACACCCCTTACTAACATTCTGACTCTCTAAAGTCCAGGAAGCTGCTTCCTAAAATACCTTGTTACATAGTTGTGCCCTCCTTAATTAAGCTTTGTAGACCTGGTAGTGTCCAGGAAGTCTGTATAAGTACATGTTTCCAGTAAATACAGTGATTGGTTAAGATGTTTTAAGTTTTTTGAAATACCGGGGGAAAAAAAGCCCTTTGAAAACAGGTATCATGTGCACAAAAATGCACATGAAGAAGTAATTCACTTTCATGTTTAACTGTTTATTATAATATTCTTTGTTTCTTGTACTATTCATTTAATTCTTCATGGTAGTTTTTGGAAGTTTCATATTTTTATGGTTTATTAATGATTTTTTTTAACCTCAGTTCTTGTATTCACTTTACAGAGTGGTTTATTTTCATTTGAATAAAATACTGGGCAGCTGTTAATAGTTTTATTAGTTTGTTCATAGGAATCGACAGATAAGTGTTTAAATGAATGGCTCAAGTTTAAAAATATGGCTGGGGTAAGAACCCAGAAGGTAAAATAATGTCTATTAATCCCAGCAGTATAAGAAAACAGCTTGGTGGATATTAAGATTTGAAGCAATTTGGGCTAGGAGAATAATAATTGGGCAACAAAGCATTGCTTCTCAAGCTTGAATATATGCAAATCAATTTGTTAAAATGCAAATTCGAATTCAGAAGGTCTGAACTGAGTCCCTACAACTTGCATTTCTTACAACTGCCCACTTACACTGATGCTGATAGTACTAGACCTACACTGAGTGGCATGAATGTAAAGAATCTACATTGGAGTTATGTGTATAAATATAGTTTTATCACTGGAGTGCAATGGGGCAGTCTCAGCTCACTGCAACCTCTGCCTCCCGGGTTCAAGTGCTCCTGCCTCAGCTTCCTGAGTAACTAGGATTACAGGTGCACACCACCACACCCAGCTGATTTTTGTATTTTTAGTAGAGACAGGTTTCTCCATGTTGGTCAGGCTGGTCTCAAACTCCTGACCTCAGGTGATCCGCCCGCCTCAGCCTCCCAAAATGCTGGGATTACAGGTGTGAGCCACCGTGCCCAGCCCTGTATTTCCTTTTAAGAGGAATTTTTTTTTTTTGAGATTCCAGCTTTTAAAATTTTTCCTTCTTTACACACAACAAAATAGAAGAAATAATACAGGATTAAAAACTTAATCAGTAGAACATGTATGCACAAAAAATGCAGATAAGACGACAGGCTTATTGACAGTGAGGAAACACATGTAAAATTAAGGTAGTTTTTGTATGAAACATTTTATGGGTGCCATGAAAATGTTTTAATTAAAAAAATTTAAGGATCAGTATTTGCTGTTTTTCATTCTGCCTTTTTTAAATGGTGAATTTCTTATTTCATTAAATATTCTTTGTAAACAAGATCTTTAATGGTTGTACTGTGATTGAATTATACTTCATTGAATATTTAAGTTTCCAAAATTTGAGGTTACAGTGAGGTGAAGATTTTGGTGAACAACTATATATATACTTAGTACCTCTATTAAATTTCTAGAAGTAAAATTAGTCAAGGAGTGAACATTTAACATTTTTACAATGTTGTACTTGATATCCCCTGCCAATATAATACTTTGGCCTTCCACTAGAAACATGAGAATGCATGAGAATGCTTTTTCCTTGAGCCCTAAGTCTTGTTTGTTACTATTTTAGGTGGGATTAAACATTTTTCATAGCATTCTGTTTATGCCTCTTCAACATTTGTGTTACAAAATGTCTCAGATTAACACTTTTGTACCTTTCCATATCAATAATCCTAAAGTTAGTATGCTCGTTTTAATTTTTTAGTGCACTTTTTAAAATTTAATATTCTTTCATTTTTAAAATTTTTTAGTTGATACTCTTTTAACTGAAATATTTTATGGTTAGGAAACATAAGGCATAACTTATAGCTTTGTATTCCATCATATGTAGAAACCTTCGTTTATCCATGCTCTTATGGAGTTATACTTAGGTGTTTCAGTTCTTTGTGGTTAAAATACTAATACAGTCAATATCCTTGTACATGTTTCTCTATGTCTGGGTTTATCTAGGTACTAGAAGTGTGGTTGCATCTTCTACTTCACTAGACTCTGCCAAACTGCCCTGCTAAATACTTTTGCTCATTTTTCTAAGGATGTTTGGATTTTTCTTGATTTAAGAGAGCTTTATTAACCTTTTTTTATTATATACAGAATGTATTTTGGCAGTAATCTTAGCAAGTTAATCTGTAAGTCTGTTTATAAAACAGGAATGACTTATACATCAGAGTGGTTGTGAAAATTAAGGGAAAGATTTTACTGATTACTGCACCATAGGCATTTCCCATCCTGTTTCTCTTAGGTTATTCATGAAAAAAATTAAAAACTATATTCTTTGATACTTTACCCTAACTCACCTTTTTTTTTCTATCTTAGGTTTCCCAAACCACTCCTTATGATCCAGTGAATATTCAAGAGAGCTACATTTGAAGCCTGTACAAAAGCTTATCCCTGTAACACATGTGCCATAATATACAAACTTCTACTTTTGTCAGTCCTTAACATCTACCTCTCTGAATTTTCATGAATTTCTGTTTCACAAGGGTAATTGTTTTATATACACTGGCGGCAGCATACAATAAAACTTAGTATGAAAGTTCTATTTTGCATTATTATGGGTATTAAATACATAGTATATTAATCTGTTCTGAACACCTGAAGGGGTTAAGTTTTTACAGTTTGTTCCACCTGCTCTTCTTACATGACTTTATGCCATACATCTGGCAAGACTGCTAGGGAATTAAAGGTAAACCGCACACCTTTATTCTTGTAAGGTCAGGAGGAGGCTGTTAAGTTCTACAGGTTTCCATGCATGAGTTACTTATAGGGTTAACTTTGTTTCAGTGCCTGAATGGAGTACTATAGCACCATGTAATGAGGTAAAAAAGAGCTCCCCCCAACCTGGCCACAAAAAACCAAAAACCTCAAAATCAGGAAGCAAAGATTAGCTTCAGTAATTTGCAACTTTGCTTTAAACCCCGGTATATCATTTTGCTTTAAATTTTTTACCCTTCTGAAGGCGTAAGAGAATGTTAAAACATCCAGAAACCTGGCCTCCATTTAAGTTATTAAAACTGTGCCAGACACTGGGAATCCAAGATTATCTGGTGTAAAAATCAAGGGTTAGCCAATATTTACCAACCATTTTATTCCTCTCATGTGTTCTATGCAAATAGGAAAGTTAATATGAATCTTGATTCCAACTTAATTATTCACAGTTACGCAAAAACAAGATAACTAAATTTAAGAAAACCTAAGCCATCAAAATAAATTTTATTTGTATTTTCTACATAAACACACAGTGGCAATTCATGGCATTTGGTAATTTGTCCAAACGTGAGTGAGAGGCTTATGAAATCAACAAATGCCATTTTGAAGAGAGTATTCTGTCAAAAATAAATTACCCAACTTCAAGATAGGCCTGTTCAGCAAAATCCGATATTACTCTCTCAGTACTTTTATAAATGGAATTTTCTTCTACTTGTATCCATTTCCCGGGGCTGAAAGTGGAAAGCAGGGGAGTGGAAGAAGAAAACAAAACAAAAATATAATTAACAGTTCAGGTAAAATAGTAAAAGTTAACGTCCCTAGAACTTTATAGGTAATGCACTGAAAAACTGGGTTTGTGTGAGCCCTGAATAGTCAGTCTTCAGTCTAATATAAAAGATGTTGGCAGTTTGTGTGTGTGTGTGATTTTAAAATAAAATGTTACTAAGTGAAGTACTGCTTATACTAGATAGAAAAGGATGTTTTAGGCCAGGTGCGGTGGCTTACACCTGTAATCCCAGCACTTTGGGAGGCTGAGGCGGGCGGATCAGGAGATCAAGACCATCCTGGCTAACACGGTGAAACCGTCTCTACTAGAAATACAAAAAATTAGCCAGTGTGGTGGTGCACGCTTGTAATGCCAGCTACTCAGGAGGCTGAGGCAGGAGAATAGCTTGAACCCAGGAGGCGGAGGTTGCAGTGAGCAGAGATGGCACCCCTGCACTCCAGCCTGGGCAACAGAGCTGAGACTCCATCTCAAAAAAAAAAAAAAGGATGTTTTTAAAACATTGAAAGTTTTCATTGTTTTCATTTATGATTTAAGATGATGATCTCCAAACATCTAAGAAAACTATTTAAGATGATGATCTCCAAACGTCTAAGAAAACTATTTAAGATGATGATCTCCAAACGTCTAAGAAAACTATGAGTAGTTCTCAAGAAACATGTAATAGAGTCACATATAACACAGGCTTATAAGCAGATTGCTGCTGGGCCCCACCCCCTAAGTTGCTGATCCAGAATTTTCATTCCTAACAGGTTCGTAGGTAATGGTGCTGGTACCACTTTGAGAACCACTGATGTTTATACTTCAGATGAACCACAGTTATTGTAGCTTTTTTTTTTTCAGGGGTATATGTGCAGGATGTGCAGGTAAACATGTGCCATAGTGGTTTGCTGCACAGATCATTTTCATCACCTAGGTATTAAGCCCAGCATCCACTAGCTATTCCTGATGCTCTCTCTCCCACCCTCTTATCCCATACTTTAAAAATTACTTAGTTTTTTTAAACAATAAGCACATACCTTATGAACCCATTCATACTCTCCATATTTAGAATCAAAGGTTCCTTTCTGAAGAGACCTTAATTTTAAGGTAAAACGTGGTCCAAGTTCCTGAATTCCCACTTTCTTTTCACTCCTGAATATGTATCTTCAAAGACAAAAAGAGTTAAATTAATCTGAATAAGCTATTGTTTATGACAGGGTTCAAAAGATAATTCATTTTATCTTGTATGATACTTGCTACAATATATTGGAAAATTAGTTCATGTTGAAAATATATTTCATGATTGAAGTCAAAGTTCAAGTTTACCTTCCTCACCTGTGAAATCTGAAGAATATATAATCCCGTTGATTGTGGAATGTGGCAACCTGCCTTCCAATAAATTGAGGATTATGAGGGAAGAGAGATGCAAACATACGTCCAATTGAATGACCCAGCCGTGTTGTAAAATTATTCAGAATTATTTCAGGTATGTGTTCTGTGGGGTCCTTGCCTCTTCTCTAGAAAAATAATGAAAAATAAGTATCACCATGAGCTAAGCTAATTGGCAGTACCTCCCAATGCAATTTCAAATATCAAAATTTACATGACAAATTTGCAAAATTTATCGTTTTTTAGTGATAAACTATCACAGATGGCTTACCAAACCCATGAAATAAGACATATCTAAAATTAATATGCAGTGAATGCAACAACAAAAAAATCCTATTAGAAAATCAATGTGCTTCATAGTAATGAAGACTATTGCCTGCTGGCTGTAACTTCACCACAGTCTCCCAAGAAAACTGATAGATAAAAACTGCTGTAATCAGGAGAAAAAAATGCCATTATTAAAATAAATTAGAGCTATAAGATACAGCATCTACTAATCAAATACTGTGGAGAGATCAATGCCAATCAAGGAATGTATAAAACTTACCTTAATTTCTTTACGAAGACGAACACTGCTCATTTTGAAATGAGCAGTTGGGCCATTTGGCAAGTGACTCAAAATAAGTCCATCTGTTCATAAAAGTTAAGAGAAACACATTGAACTCTGTAATCTCAACCTAATTGTTTAAATAACTAGTCCTCTACATCCAAAGGTCCCTAAAATCTGTACCCAAGTGAACAGGCAGATGTACATATTCCTCTGAAGTGACATTTTCCTACCATATCAAAAGCTCAAAATCAGTCAAAATCTTCCAAGAAAATAGACTAGGGTAGTCCTTTTTTTCTCCTTTTACAATATAATAATCATCACCCTCAATAGGGTATGTTAAGGTACCCTAAAGTAGGTGAAAAAAAGCTCTTTAACTGACCACTACTCTTAGGAGTAAAATAGGATGGGATTCTACAATCATGTAACACTGCAAATACAGTATTTTACCTCCATGTTCTGAAGATGTATAACCCCAAAATGTCACTTCTACACATTTGTATGGTCAGAATATGCTGTCAACTTTGAATAACATCCCATGAGACCAGACTCCTAAACTTCCCTCTATGAAATTAAGGTTATTAGTATTTTGCAAGAGATCAGCCCTTACTTAGGATTACTGTACCACAAATTATAATCAACTAACCAATTAATAGCCATTCACTGATTGTCATTTCCCATAAATTGAGAATTGAGAATTATGCCCTCACATGCTAAACTACAAATGAAATGTAAGATCACCTACCTACAACTACATTGCAAATGAAATGCAGACACGCTAAACTACAAATGAAATGTAAGATCACCTACCTACAACTAGCAGGACTAGCAGCCCAAGGACTCTAGAAGTCCTGGGTGCTGCAAACTAAGGCTGCTACCTATATAATGTTCTTCAAGTTTTTGTGGCACAACCTGACCTTCACTTGAAACACCTTTACTTTTCATGAGTAATTCCTGGCTATTGCTTAATGGCATTACAAGCAGGCATATTAATGGCAATGGACAGGGCTTTCACTTTGTATTATGCTTTTCTAGTTTAGAAGAAATTTTCAAACACATTTCATCTGATTCAACAACTTAAAATAGGCCAGAATCAGATGGTTTCAAGTCTATCTGCATATAATATGTATCTTTCAAAGCAGATGTTGCCATCTTTTTACAATGGCATCAACACTCATTCCTCCAGATTAGAAGCTATGGTATCTTCAACTTCTCCTCTCCCACTAAATCTTAACTGCTTTTACCTTCAGAATTTCCTCACTTAGCATCCTCTTTACCCTTACTGTCATAGTGAGGTCCTCGAGATTTTCCACCTAGATTATTAAAGTAGTATTGTGGTTGGTCTGACCTTTTTCCTCACCATCTCAAGTACATCTCCTAATGCAGATTGTAAAATCAAGTCTGGACTTAGGCCTTGGTTCTATAAGTAACCAGCTATGGGACTTAGCTGTTTCATTATATCTGTACCATAGTTTCTCATATGCTAAGTGAAAAACAAACTAGATATCTTCACAGTCTTGACAGCTGTAGCTAATTTCATACTACTCTCATCACAGACTCATCTACAGAAAGAAGACATTGGTATGAGATTCATAATGTGGCCACAAATTACCTTTTCAACCTATTTATGCCCACACCAAGCTGTTTCCTAACTGGTAGGCACTCGCAGTCTTATGTACTATATTTGTTAATCCTAGCATGCATTTTTTGCTTCTGCTAATTTGAATACCTGCAACATTTTACTCATCTATTATGGTCTACTTCAAATGTCACCTTTTTATGCAGTCAGAATTAAGATCTAAATCTTCTCAGTTCTCACTGCTACCACAGCACTCATCACTTATTTGAGTTACAGTAAGGAAAACACCTTTCTTCCCAACTAATCTGCTAACACTTAGGTAGGGATGGGAATTTTTTTCTTTTTTTTGAGACAGTCTCACTCTGCAGTCCAGGCTGAAGTGCAATGGCACGACCATGGGTCACTGCAGCCTCAACCTCTCGGGCTCGAGTAATCTTCCCACCTCAACCTCCCGAGTAAATGGGACTACAGGCATGCCATCATGCCCAGCTAATTTTTGTAGAGACAGGGTTCTGCCATCTTGCCCAGGCTGGTCTCAAGCGATACACCTGCCTTAGCCTCCCGAAGTGCTGGGACTGCAGGCAGAGTTTTCAGCAAACGTTTGAATTCTATCATTTTAAAAGATTCACCACAGGTTAAACTTCATGAAATATAGCCAAAAGTATTTATTAAGGGGTCTAGGAGATATAAAAGTCATTTCTTCCAACCCCCAAATCAAGGCTTAAATCCTTTCTAGAACATTCCCACTAAATTGTGGTGTCAAAAGCAAAGTACAAAATCCAAACTTACCAGTTTCTAAATAACTTCTTTTCCTGTGTACCTGCATTGTGCAAGAGGCTTTATTTACATTACTGCTAATCCCTAACACAAATCACGCAAACCAGGAGTCATCATGCCTATTTCAGTAATGAGGAAAAGAGCCTGAAGAGGGTCAAGTAAATTAGCCTAAGTAAATCACACCAAGGCAACTGCACATCTCAACCAGGGTGGGACTGCACCTAGCTTAAGCCCTTGGCTGACAGCTGCTCACATTTGGAAATGTACAGAGGCATTTTGTTTGTCAGGATGACTGAGGTGTTACTGGTATTTAGAATCCAAAGGCCAGGAATGCAAACCATCTTACAAGCTGCCAAGAGTGTAGCACAAATAATTACCCTACCTCAAATGCCAGTAGTTCCCCATTTAGAAATCATGAATACAGGACGTAGGTCTGTAAAGATAAAGCTTACATGCTTCTCACTATACCACGTTTACTAAAATGACTACCACATGGCACTACCAGACACCATGCTTTATAAACAATACATTTAATGTGATCTTGTGGGAACTCTAAAGATAGTTATTATTTCCTACATTTAAAAAATGAGGAAACTGAGTGGCTAAGAAACTTGACTAAAATCACAAAAGTAGCAAATAACGGAATCTGTATTTGATAAAACAGCTGCCCTGACTCAAAGCCACTAGTAGGTTTCTACAGTTTAGACAGCTGATGAAGTTCTATTTTAGAATAAGTCAAAAAAGTATATCCCTTTACTTCCACCATTCAGCACTACTCTTTCATACAGTAGCCCCTCGAATGTCTTTAGAAAGATGCCATGTTCCTAGAATCTACTTTCCCACAGGCTAAATCCTGTTTTTTCAGCTTTTCCGCCATGTGTCATCATTAGGAGTTGTGATTTTTATTCCTGAACCCATGCTAAGTCTCCAGGAATCACCACTATTTTTTTTTTTTTTGACAGTCTTGTCCTGTCACCCAGGCTGGAGTGCAGTGGGCACCATCTCGGCTCATGGCAACCTTTGCCTCTCGGGTTCAAGTAATTCTAGTGCCTCAGCCTCCCAAGTAGCTGGGATTACAGGCATGTGCCACCACGCCCAGCTAATTTTCGTATTTTTAGTAGAGACGCGATTTTGCCATGTTGGCCAGGCTGGTCTCAAACTCCTGACCTCAAGCAATCTGCTGGCCTAGGCCTCCCAAAGTGCTGGGACTACAGGTGTGAGCCACCACGCCCAGCCAGAAAATGTAAACTTTTTAAAGGCAATAGATGATATAGGTGAAATTTGTGTGACCATATAAAACACCCTGGATAAAATAAGGATAGAACATTTATTGAAATGATGAATGCCTGCTTCTTAGCAGGGTTACTAGCGGCCTCAAAGTGATGACAGTTGTTTTTTAACTGCCAAAAATAAAAAGAGGAAAACAGACCTTACCACTTTGTGGAGGCAGTTTAAAAAAAGAAAAAGAGGTAGCAACTACCTTAAAAACAAATTTTTTTTGGAGTAGTTAAGTATTCAAGAGATTTCAGATATTTGATACATTAATCTGGTAAACCAAATTATAGTATGGCCAACAAAACACATTACGAAGCTTGTTATAGTTTATTTTAGTTTCTGGAAAGCTACTAGAACAAGTGGATGAAGTAAGTTATATTGAAAACAATAAAAATCATAAAAGTTAAGATTTTTAAAAAACAGCCTTTTAAGCCACTAATTTAAAAACAACAGTGTTCACTGATATTAGAAATAAAATGTTATTCTGGCACCACAGAAAGTTTTGTCCCTGTTTTTTTTTTTGTAAATTCTTTATAATTTTATTTTAATGAAATTAAAAATCATAAAGATGACTCATTCAATTGGTCATCTTTAAAGCTACGGAACTCACAGCCATCATTCAGTAAGTAAATAAAATAGCAACAATAACAACAAACCTACATATCCTTTATGAAGTCTCTTATCTCAATAGGAAGAAATACCTTGGGTTCAGGTGACACATTCATCTCAGATCTGAGACTCACAGAAAAGTTTAGACTGGAACACACAACATGGGCCCAAGTCTTTACCTCAAAAACTGAATCCTGCGACACCACCTCTGGCAACGTAAAATCTAGCCATAACAAACCATATGCAGATCCCCAACTAGGTCAGCCCTTTCCTCCCTCTCTTTCCAAATGGGTGTCCCTCTGCACTGAGCGCTTTTCTCTGCCTCATTCCCCTGCTTCACCCTCGTCCATCTAGATCCAGCTTCAGCATCTCTTTCTACAGGAAGTCCTTCCTCCCAGGGCAGACTTTGTACCAATCACAGGGTCCCCACTCTCTCCTGCATTTCTCTGTTTAATTGTACCATCCACACTATATTTTGTCAGTTTACATATCCATTTACTCCACCTATGAATTTCCTGAAGGTTGTCTCTTGTTTTATCTCTGCATCTTCTACTAAGGGTTAAAATGATCTCTTGGCTACAGCATGTGCCTGATAAATGTTTGGTGAATACAAAGGAAAAATCAGTTTATAGATTCTTGGAAAGAGATACAATTTTCTGATAAAAAAATTATTTTCTGGAAGTTATAGGCAATATTTCCTTATTCTTTTAAATATATTTTTAAGGGGGTTGAGGGAGAGGACAGGAAAACCTCCTTAAAAAAAAAAGGATACTTGGCGTTTTGCGATCTTCATTAATAACAATCAGGTCTGTGAATTCTCTTGCGATGCACTGAGGAATAATTTTTTTCAGAGCCAGTCCTCTTCTGTAATAAACATGTGAGTTTGGTATAACTGTGGAGAGCTGTTCACAGAGTCGTACTGTTCTCTGCAAAACAAAATAACAAAAATTTTGAATAGTTTTTGAAAAAGAATAAAAATCTTATGTGATACATAAGGAAAGAAATAACAATTATTATGATTAATAGAAAGCAACACTGAGGAAAGCATGAAACTGGAACAGTGTCGCCTCTTTTATCAAAGGCTGATCATCCTAAAGCAGTGGTTCTCAATTGGGGCAATTCTGCTCCATCAGGGGACACATTTGGCAATATCTGGAGACATTTTTGATGGTTATGACTGGTGGTAGTGGTAGTGGTGTGTGGTTGCTACTGGCACCTAATGCATAGAGGCCAGGGAAGCTGGTAAACATCCTATAATGAACAGGATGGCTCACGATAACAAAGAATTCTCCAGCTAAAATGTTAACAACGCTGAGGTTGAGAAATCCTATCCTGAAGAATCATATTTAGTAAACCTACATCATATCACCACTGCTACGTTTTATTTACTTATTCACAGGCATTCTTTAAGGCAGTTAACTAAAGGTTTAACTCTTCTGAACAGAGTACTTTAAATAGAACTAATAAGAAAATTAAGAATTCAAGAACTAAATTAATCAACGTGTTTACCCCATGAGGTCTATCTGATGTTGTGATGAGAATCTTGGGAGAAGTCTGTTTGTTGAAGTAAGAAGCAAATTCATCTGTAGATTCATCATAAGCAACCTGAGAACAGAGAAGAAGGATAATTTTACATCAAACAAATATTCTACTGGGCCAGAATTCTAAAAGTAGCTTCAGCAGGACTGCTGAACACTGAGTACCTAGCTGATAGGGGATTTAAAGACAGACCAGGAAGGACTGACATTAATGGACACAGGAAGAGGATGGAGTGGATTTCTCCTGTGTAAAATACAAGTACAAAACTGAATAAAATTGTCAGAAATCACTTCAGGGCAGAAACTGAGATATGTTTACTCTTGAACTGCTTTCATTTCTGTCATCAACTTGGTTGGTGAAAATAATAACCACAGGAAAAAAAAAAAAAAAACAAGCAAAAAAACTAATGAAATTAAGAGAAGACAAATCTTCCATTAAGAGACACTCAGGTTTAAACAATAATGAAAGTAGTACCTTTTAAAATTTGTGGAATATACCCAAGTGGTCTTGGTATAAGACTCTGAAAGAGTCTTACGGCTCTACCTGCTCACATTAGAAAATATACATATTGAGCAAATCAATAAATACAGAATCAACTCAAAGGAAGCAGAAAAAAGTAATAAAGATAAAAGGAGATATAAAAGAATCAAAAAACAAAGATTCAATAGGATCAAAGAAGAAAGTACTTAGAAAAGACTAAGAGAATAGATATCTTGGTAAAAACTGATTTAAAAAAGAAAAAGCCAAAATAAAATAATATGAGGAATGAAAAGTGGACATTACTGTAGTCTCACTCATGAACACAGATATAATTAATTCTAAGCAAAGAATAAACCCAATTTGGTTATGATGTTTAATGCAATAAAAGAGAAAAGCCACATAATCACCTCAATGTTTGCAAAGAAAACATCTAATAACATTCTACATTCATTCATGATAAACAAGACAAAAAACAGCCTAAGAATAAAATTTACTTAACCCTTAACTCTTAATAATCTATCTTTAGTGACACAAATATCAATGATGATGCATTGGAAATATTCTTTTGAAAATCAGGAATGTGGCAAAGATGGCACTATTGATTTTTCTATTTATTTGACATTAAGCTAGAAGTTCTAGAAGGCACAAAAGTGGGAGAAAAACAGGTCAAAATAAGACTTGGAATCAACCCAAATGTCCATCAGTGACAGATTGGATTAAGAAAATGTGGCACATATACACCATGGAATACTATGCAGCCATA